TTAGTTCTTCACTTATTATGACAAATATGTTTCTGTAGATGATTTAGTTCTTCCCTTTTTATGACAAATATCTCAACAGATGACATATTTTCTCACTTATTTTTTTATGAACATCGTAGTAAAATTTCAAGTTCAATTATCATTAACATTTTTGTGTGGATACTTGACAGAAACATGAATGATTCAAGCTTCATTTTGTTTTATATTTTGATGTGTTATTTCCACTGTAATGTTTTAAATCAGTATATGTTATAAATCTTAAAAGTCCATTACCTATTGTAGGGGCTTGCTGACGTAAAATTCTTCTTGAAAATGTCAAACCTGTGTATAGAAAAAGTTCGATCTGATCTGATGTAATATGTAGCATGACGTTTTCAATATTCTAACCGAAAACTCAATAAAAATTACACAGAGAGCTTGAGATTTTTTTCGTCCCTAGATAAGGTACATTAACATTCGTAAAGCAGTTAAAAAGCATTAAATTGAGATTAAAAAACCTCAGGTTTTTAGATCCAGTGAATATCTCTTCTAGCTATCGTCTCTAAGGAAGCGCCGAAATTTTAGTTTGTCTTTTTTGTTTGTTTGTTTGATTTTGTTTAACGTCCTATTAACAGCTAAGGTCATTTAAGGACGGCCTCCCCTGTGTGCAAGATGCAAGCGTGTAGTGTTTGTGTGTGTATTTTGGGAGGCTGCGATATGTTCGTGTTTGTCTACTTGTGATAGCGCGGAACTGATGCCGACTTTATAGTGCTACCTCACTGAAACATACTGCCGAAGACACCCAGCAGGACGCCCCACCCGGTCACATTATACTGACAACGGGCGAACCAGTCGTCCCACTCCTAATTTGCTGAGCGTTAAGCAGGAGTATAAACTACCATTTTTAAAGACTTTGGTATGTCTCGGCCAGGGGACAGAACCCAAAGCCTTCCTCACAGGGGCGAACGCTCAACAAATGGCCAAAAGTGAGGCATTGTCAAGGGAGACATTAGGAAGAAGAAAGTTATTTAGAAAGGAGAGAAGAGATAAGGTCCCAAATTTAGTCGCCTCTTACGATCATGCAATTGGGGGCAGCAGGTACAATTCTTACACCCTACCTGCAGGGGCTTTTAGTTTGTCCTTGCTTGGTAGCGAGTATAGGTCTCGCAGTATACAAAAAGCGCATTACTTGTCGAACCGGTAATCATTCTACCACTGACCGGCTTATGATTCAATACACCGCGCTCCCTGATCGGCAACCGATAGAAAAAATCAAACTCACTTACCTGAAGTCTTTGAGGCAATGCCAAGCTAGATGTTACGTATGGAACATTCTCGTAAATTGTATATCCAAATTAAAGATATATCACTGTAAATACTTCAATAAATCTCATATATATCATCGGTCTTTTACGTGCATAGAATCGCACCCACACACGAAAACTGTATTATGCAGGCGCATAGCTACCATGTAAGCCAATAAGCCCGGGCTTGCACATAATTTTGACAAGTATAAGTTTTCATGACGTTATTTTTTCTTGCTGATACTATAAAGTGGAGTTTAAGTTTTGAATTTATAGTATTATTATACATATGTAATTCCTCAGATATGATACAGTTAATAGTTAGTAAAAAAAAATGTATGAAGTTTGGAAATGTCCATTGCATTAATGGACAGTTCCAGGCGAAACTAAACTGCTCGATTGAGTAAATTGAGAAACTCACGCCTGGCGCAAACGACTCCGAGTATGGCACAGTGGACACAGACAATCAATGTTTTTTTTATGAAAATATCAGCTTGGGGCACGTTCGGCCCCTTTTGCCGGGGCACATTCGGCCACCCCGAATGCAACTGTTATTGTGCCAAGTGACGTCACTATTGATAACGTCACCCAATTGACCACAAAAATATTATTTTTACGTCGCAAAAATTAAGCATTTTTTTCTTTGTATTCACTGATTTGTTCTGGACTTATTTTCCAACAGAATTGAATTAAATTCCATACACTTATTAGTAAATTGTCTTCTCTATCCTTCATGCCATACTTGCCCTGGGAGGGGCCGGATTTGCCTCAGGGCGGGACTCGTCCGGCCCCCAACTATCTCGACGTAAAAAGTCCATTAATTCCCAAAATATGGTCTTGTTTACGATTTGATTATTAGTTTATGAAAGACAATACATTCTTTTCTAAATGACATATATAAATATGCATTTCAACAGTATAACACATGCCTTCCATAACGTCTTGAAAAAAGAAAAGGGGCCGTGTTTGCCCCGGTCCCCCCTACACATGTATTATACATGTGTAGGGGAGACCGGGGCAAGTCCGGCCCCTTTTTTAAAACTATATTATAGTTTACAACATATCATTATCTCAGACATCAGGACGTGGGAAATGGCTCCTGAGACGTTCTAGAAAACAACATTTTCATGGGGGAGACCCCCCAGACCCCCCTTACGGGAGGGGGGAAGACCCACTCCCGTCCCCATGTCGGGGCTTACACATGGTAAAGGGGCTAGCTACGCGCCTGTTATGTACTCTTAGTCTTGGTCGTGAAGACTTTTGACTAGCAAAACGCGTGCAAAATGCAACACTCCCGGGTGTGTAGTCAACAATGTGAAATTTGATATTTGAACCGTTTTCATGGATATAATTGGAATAAGCATTGTTTTCACACAGGATGTCAAAACATATACTAGTTGGATGCATCAGAGTTAGTCGTATATTTAGTTCTTTCAGGTCCGTTTTTAGGAGGCGGGCAGAGATTGTGCATTATATATATTTTAATTTGTCGTATTTTATTACTATTTCCACTTTTTTAAGGTAAATGGTATCTTTGATGTGTTCCATACATAATTTATTCTACTGTTCTGATAAAATGTATAGGATCAAAATCGTGAAAGTGTTCTATTTATATAGTATAGTAGTGTTACCTTGCGCACACATTGAACAGATGATAACCGGTTTGATGGGTAACGCGCTTTTAATATCTAGTGAGACCCATCCTTGTTACCAAGCGCCTTGTTGTGGCGCTTCCGACAACCGGAAGATATTGTCACTGGGGTAGATCTCAAAACGAGAAAAAAAATCTTTTTAAATCTCAGATAACAGCTTTTTAACTTGTACTGTTAGCTTTAAGATCCAAAACAATTGTTGAGTGAAGTTTCGAGTTACATGTGCTGTTTTGAACCCTAGGTCAAAGTGCAATCACACTAAACACAGGTTCCAACCCCAGGCAACAACTGAATATTACTGTCATGATCTTATTCAGATACAGAAGAGAACACCCTTCTACTGGTTCGGGCTGGGACAAATACCTCCTTAGGAGATGTATGGGACACGACAGGTGGACTTAATGACCCGGCCGGGACCGGACACCAACAGAACATCCATGGAAGGCTTTTTGATGATAACAATTTCCGAAGCAAGCTTGTTGATGCCTGGAATGAAACAAATTATCCTGACAAAGTAAGAAATCGTTAGAAAGATAAATGGGAAATGAATGATTTCAATCGTTTTGGATTTTTAATTGCTAATGACAACTTTATATGTGTATTCAATGTTTATAGAAGTGTATTTTGAACATAATTCACCTGTGCCCTCAACTTTTGGGACACAAAAGCGACCAAAACTGAATCTGCTAACCCCTTGAAATTTTGGGATCTTTGTTTTTCTCACTACTTATCACTACCTTTCGTTTCCTAGTACCTTAATTGCTTGGCAATACCTTACCTTGGACTTTTATGTGAACAATGGTAGCTGTTATTCCCTTTTATTTCAGCATTTAAAGTAATTGCAATAGCTGCTTCACCCGTTGTCAGTATAACATAAATAACATGTATTTATTTGCTTTGGAAAGGAAGATTCAACCGGGTTGCGTTCAAAATGGAAAAATGGAAATCTTCTATATTTCATCCTGATCAGTAGTAAACCTGTACTGCCTATGCAGAGTCTTGCATAATAAACATTTCAGCTTAACTTATCAATCCAAGATGTCGTCACGCTGCGCTCGGAAAGTGATTAAACAAATCGTATTTCTTGATTAATATCTATCTAACGTTTACAAATGTGTATCGGTTTCATAGAATCTTTATTATGTAACGTTTATGCAAAAATTGATGCCGAGGTGGAAAGTTTTGGAAATAAGGAAAGCAATGCAATATTTGCTTTTGAATTATAACGTGGAGAAAATGTTAAGCAATTCCTATTTCAAAAACTGCGAAAACACATTTCAGACATTATCAAGTTTCTGATTGATAAATCGAAAATAAATATTACATAACTTCATATCAAACCGGTGGAGGTTGTGGTCATATTGAATTTCCTACTATTTTTACCGTGTTGGCAATACATCAATTTTTAATCAGCATCTTTTCATACCCCTAGAAACATTGTTTACCATACATTAGCATGATTTACGAATATTCTGTACATATTGGAACAGCAAATTACAGTTGGTAACGCGTCTGTCTATTGACATGCATTTTTTCAGATGAATATACCTCTAATAACGTTTTGTGCTACGTTTTATCATCGGAGTAAGTATGTCCTTTCCTTTTTTGGAGTGGGAAGATGGGAATATACGTCTTATTCACAAATAATTGAATGACAACTGGTCAGACTATTATCGTATAGCAGGTTAAGATTTTATTCAAGCTATATTAAACACTTAGTGAAAATAGTGATAACATAGTTATTGAGGAAGGGACTTGTAAACAAAAAAAGTCACTTTGATTCATAATGAAACTTTAGTATAGCAAGTAACCAGATTCCATTGGGAAGAAAGGTGATGAAATAGAAATAGAATAAAATATTGTATATACAAACGAAGACGTTTTTATTCGAATGGAGTAAGTGGTATTTCAAATGAAATATAATGTTTTTTTAATGTAACCATGAATGTTAGAAGGATTTGATTTTGATCATTTTTTAGGATAAAGAGGGGCAAACACAAGGTGTTTAAACGCATTGTATGCGGCATTTTTAATTGAAAATGTTTCTTGTTTTGTTTAGGTGCTAGTGACTATACACAACAAATATGGAAATGAACTATGTAGCATGTTTTTTGAAACACCAAATACCAATCGGTCCTTCGAATCGTGGCTCAAAGAATCTACATTATTTGGATGGAGCTACAAACTACCAACTGATGCCAAATTCCAGACAGGGTAAAACATAGAAATTTATTTCGATACAATAAATACGCAAATGCACCAAATATCGTATCAGTGCATTTAATGAGCGTTAATTTCAATATCAATAATGTCAATAAAAATACAATCATTCCATTAACAGTTTATGAACTATTGTCTATCTTATAATACTATAAATGACAGCAGATGAATTAGTTTCGTCGTTTGCTTTTCAATAATATCCTGCTATATGATTCTTGCAAACATATAAGTCAGATGAAAGTATATGCTATAAAAAGTTTAATTTATATCATTTTGATTGCACCTCGATAGTAATTTTTAATTTTACAAATTATCATAACATTCAAACACAAAAATTAAAAGTTCACCTCGAAATCTCATTCTCCACCGAGAAATGGTTTATTTAGGGAGGGATATTTTATTAATTAGTTTTGTTTTAACTATCGTTAATTGAATTAAATGCATCGTTATAATTATGTTCATGCGAATATATGTTTTAAATATATTTACAGGCGCCCATTTTTCGATTTGTATGTATCTGACAACACCGATGACGATAAAGCTTGGATTGCTGTTGCTTTGTGGAATTCTTCCATCGTCAGCCTTACCAACCATACGCCTATGTTCTTGTGTTCGACCAGCCATGACCAACCGCACACACTGATGAAAGGTGGGTAAATATTATATAAAAGTAGCGATAAATATTAAGATAAGTTTAAAAAAAAATGATTGCAACGGAGACCATTACAGAAATCTGAGAAACCGTCCCTGAAGATGCAAATAATGCACTGGAAAGAATTTGCTATGTCATACTACATTTACATACTCAGTTGGAGGAAATAGTGACGGAACGTTGGCATCGCCGTGGTTTACACCTATGAATGGGTCAATCAATTATAAGGCACAGCGACAATTTTAAATGACCAACTGGAAAAGGAAACCCGTTACGGTCGTCAGCATAAGTAGTTTCTAATATAATTAAGAAAAGAAGAAGATGAAATGAAGCAAAATCTGTAAGCCCTCTACTTTGTTTGGGGGAATTAATTAATAGTATAAAGAATTATTATGGTAAACTAAATATGCATGTTTCCGTGGCAAACTAGCACATGAGTCAGAGAAAGAACAATAGAGTCGACATCAAGCGTCCGGGGATTTCATGTCCAAGTTATTCAGGTCGTGTATTTTCTAATTATGATGTTGAACAGGAAGATTTTAAATATTAACTCAATCTCCCATCCGTTGTTTTTATAGAGACCATAGCTACCGTACCACCAGTCACATTGACCGTTGGTGGATGTTATCCCTGGTATAACACAGCCTCCAACCTAGCATTTACCAACACGGCGTCCATGACAGTCGAAATGTGCATGACTGAATGTGTATCACAGGCTACTGTTTACGCGTTCCTAGAGGTACGCTTTTCTTTCTTATCAGTTTATATATGTTAACTATATTTAACATTTGTGCAATTTTACAATAATGTTATCTTTGTTATTTGTTAATTATGTCCATAGTGAATTCTAAGTTATTTGTGTTAATAGTGACACTTGTTTTGTCAGTGTTATTAGTGATACCTGTTTTATCAGTGTTATAAGTGATATCTATTTTATCAGTGTTATTAGTGAAACCTGTTTTATCAGTGTTATTAGTGGTACCTGTGTAATCAGTGTTATTAGTGGTACCTGTGTAATCAGTGTTATTATTGGTACCTGTGTAATTAGTGTTATTAGTGGTACTTGTTTTATCAGTGTTATTAGTGGTACCTGTGTAATCAGTGTTATTAGTGATACCTGTTTTAACAGTGTTATTAATGATATCTATTTTATCAGTGTTATTAGTGATATCTATTTTATCAGTGTTATTAGTGATACCTGTTTTATCAGTGTTATTAGTGGTACCTGTGTAATCAGTGTTATTAGTGATACCTGTTTTAACAGTGTTATTAATGATATCTATTTTATCAGTGTTATTAGTGAAACCTGTTTTATTAGTGTGCTTTACCATAATTCAGCTGACTGTGTTATTAGTGAAACCTGTTTTATTAGTGGTACATGTTTTATCAGTGTTATTAGTGGTACCTGTTTTATTAGTGTTATTAGTGGTACATGTTTTATCAGTGTTATTAGTTGTACATGTTTTATAAGTGTTATAAGTGATACCTGTTTTATCAGTGTTATTAGTGGTACCTGTGTAATCAGTGTTATTAGTGATACCTGTTTTATCAGTGTTATTAGTGATACCTGTTTTATCAGTGTTATTAATGATATCTATTTTATCAATGTTATTAGTGATATCTATTTTATTAGTGCTATTAGTGATACATGTTTTATCAGTGTTATTATTGATACCTGTTTTATCAGTGTTATTAATGATATCTATTTTATCAGTGTTATTAGTGAAACCTGTTTTATTAGTGTTATTAGTGGTACATGTTTTATCAGTGTTATTAGTGGTACCTGTTTTATTAGTGTTATTAGTGGTTCATGTTTTATCAGTGTTATTAGTTGTACCTGTTTTATAAGTGTTATTAGTGATACCTGTTTTATCAGTGTTATTAGTGGTACCTGTGTAATCAGTGTTATTAGTGGTACCTGTGTAATTAGTGTTATTAGTGGTACCTGTTTTATTAGTGTTATTAGTGATATCTATTGTATCAGTGTTATTAGTGAAACCTGTGTAGTCAGTGTTATTAATGATATCTATTTTATCAGTGTTATTAGTGATATCTATTTTATTAGTGTTATTAATGATATCTTTTTTATCAGTGTTATAAGTGATACCTGTTTATCAGTGTTATAAATGTTATCTATTTTATCAGTGTTATTAGTGAAACCTGTTTTATTAGTGTTATTAGTGGTACCTGTTTTATCAGTGTTATTAGTGGTACCTGTTTTATAAGTGTTATTAGTGATACCTGTTTTATCAGTGTTATTAGTGATACCTGTTTTATCAGTGTTATTAGTGATACCTGTTTTATCAGTGTTATTAGTGATACCTGTTTTATCAGTGTTATTAGTGATACCTGTTTTATCAGTGTTATTAGTGATACCTGTTTTATTAGGTCACCTAAGACAAAGTCTCAAGTGACCTATTGCGATCGCCTTTTGTCAAATTGACTAAAATTTCAAAATTCTTCTTCTCAAGATTATGGTAGAATCAAATACTCTTCATAGATGGAAGGGTCTTAAGGTGCTTTACCATAATTCAGCTGACTGACAGAACCACTATTTGTACATAGTATATATACTACCCAGATCTTCCACACTACTTTTGTATTACATGTAGTTCAAATTACCTTTGTTACAAAATGATATCTTTTTCATTTGGCAACATCGATAATATCAGTTTTTACATAACTCAGTTGACCGTTAAGGCCCTTGGGCCGCTTGTTAGAGTTTTTGGTGGTACCTGTTTTATCAGTGTTATCAGTGGTACCTGTTTTATCAGTGTTATCAGTGGTACCTGTTTAATCAGTGTTATTAGTGATATCTATGTTATTCATTTTATTAGTGATACCTATTTTATCAGTGGTATATGTGTTATTTATGTTATTTATTGGTTCACCTGTTCTCAGTATAATGTGATTGGGTGGAAAGCTGTACTGGGTGCCTTTGGCGTGTTAATTCATTGAGATAGCACTATAAAGTCGGCATCAGATCTGCGCTATCACAAGGTGGCAAATGCCCCAACATACCTTGCCTCCGGCACACAAACACACATACATGCATTTTTAATACACGTAGAGGCGCGTCTTTAAACGCCTTTAGCTGTAAATAAGACGTTTAAACCTTTTAACTCAACTATTTTATCAGTGTTATTTGTGATATCTTATTTATCTATATCATTAGTTATAACTGTTCTCAGTGTTAACATGTTATTTGTTATAAGTTATATCTATTTTATCGCTGTAATTAAACATATCATCAGGCATATGGATTATTTCTATTATATGTCATCAATGTTGTCAGCGCTATCTTTATAATTGTTATTGTTTATTTTTTCATATCAGTGTCATTAATTTTATCTTTTATCGGTGTTACCTATGTCTACATGTTATATTCATCATATATAATTTGTGTATTGTCGATCTTATCAATCTAACTTAACTTCCTTATCTGTTTATTATATATTAAATATGTATGTATGTGTGTCTGTGGTTCCAATACTGGTCCTATCTAGACTTTTCTCTGTACGTCTCTTACATAGAAATACGAAGGAACCCAAGTTTTATCAGCAGATCTCATTACAAAACTTATACCTTCTTTCAATCCTCGTTAGATGTCTATTTCGTTTTACAATATATCGAAAGACATCCCTAGTTAGCTCTATAGTGTGGCCGGTAGAGATGTCATGCTGACATGGCTTGGTTATGACATTTCAGTTACTTGGCCATCTTAATTTGTCCTTTATCCGTGAACACTTTCTGCATAAGACCCTTGATGTTGCCAAAACGTGATTATCTTTCTTCTATCTCATCTTTACTGTCTTCATTATAATTTTTACCTTTGCTTTCATTGTTGTATTTGTTATCTTCGAAGCTGATATCGTGAGTTGTCTGCATTATCTATGTCACTTGGGTTAATTTCTATTCAAATAATTTCCTGCGTTATCTGCATAATCCTCCTAGCATTTTATCTATATTACCTTTACGTTTTTATTTCTATTTTCGTCGGCTGTTCTTTGTTGTTTATGTTTTGATACATTTTATCTTCCTTTCTTCTGTGGACCTTGTGATATATAATACCCTCACCAAGCGTTTAAATTTTCGCAGTCCAGGTTACCATTGTTGCTATCTCATTGTGTTTGTACGTTATAGTATCACTTCCTGACATGTTAATTATCTACTGTATGGTTGTGCTACTGTCATTGATTTCCAGTCGTTTATCTCTGTAACGGAGCCACGTTTCTCAAATACCATAATCGATTTATAGATAATTATTCTATTGTGGTCAGGATCCGTGTCTCCTGTTGTATATATAAAGTTAAGCTAAGATCTGTGTCATACTTCGCTTTATTTACTTAATAATACTCTAAGTCAAATACTTACATTCATTTTTAAGTTTGTGAATAAAAGGTAGTATTTTAGTGCATATTACCAGAATATGGTTATTTTGAATCCAAATACTCGCATATTTAAATAATTTTAGAATTATCCCAGATTATAGTCTTACCTTGTCAGTAAGCTTTTGAATACGACCGATTTGTGAGTGTGTTCATTGAGTCACAGTTTTTTTTTACTATTCTACTTATGTATATGAAAACACTAAAGTAACAGTGTATAAACACCAATGTGACATCCGGATTATCTTTTTATCCAATATATCTATCAGCAGTATAACTGTGTGCGCTAAAAGAGGTTTAAACAAGTAATATATAATAATAATAATAGATAGATACATGTGTGTGCTAGTTCTACACACATATTTTCATATTTTTATGGTTTTATTTTATAGTCCGGTAACAAGTGTAACTGTGGAGACATAATAGGAGCCTCGATAGACTCACCAGGACACTGTGGGGGAGGGTGCGCGGGGGACAGTGCCCAGGTCTGTGGAACGACAGACGGATTTTTTATTGCATATGCTACAGGAGTCGGTGCAGGTAACAACAACTATTATTAAGATGGGTTTTTTCAAAGACTCAAACTGCATCATGAAATAAAATCTTCCCAAATTCAAAATATCGCTTTCGTGATTTTGTATAACTGGTTAAGCAATAAAATAAAACAAGCTTTATGATAATGTTTGTTTGAACTGAATGTATCTCACAAAATTACTGATACTGAACCCGAGGCAGTAGTTAGTGTACAAATATCTGGACAAAGTGAAACCTGCAATAGCAAAAATATTGTACGGAGACAATATTGATTCCTTCTGAAAACTCAAATGATAGGTATGATGGAATACCACTTAATTTTCGAAAAGAAAATATTGTTTTTTCAAAAATAGTCTATTATTATAAACATCCAAATGTGACCGTATTTTGAACGAGTCATAATAGTATTTCAGCACACAATATTTCATACACAAAAACATCAAGGATAATGTAGATTTTTTTAATACAGGAGAAGGAATATCGAAAAAACTAGTGTGTTTTTTCAATTAGAGAGTAGTTTTGCTTATGGGATTCCATCCAAAATCATTTTCGTAGATAGCAAAATAAAAGCACTTTTCTCTTTTTCACGTATAATATAACTATTTACCAACCTGTATAGGTTCCCAGGCTACCAATTCTCCAACAACCGGTTCGTCCAGCGTGTCGCATGATGGCGTTCCAGGGTCCACGATGTCGACAGTACTTTTGACTTCTGTGACAAAAACAATCTTGGCAGGAGATTTGAATACAACTGTAAGTAACTTTGACATATTAACAAAGAATGCATATATAATAAATCAGACCAATCCTTTACCACTCTTCAACTACAAACAGTGTAATAAACAGCAGTGGGTTGAATATCTACCATATTGTGTAACTGTTTTACCACTTTCTACCCGTGAAAGGCAGCATTTTGACTGAAGGACTAGTTGAAGTTTTACCACATTTGATTTAAAGGTTAAAAATGAGTTCATTGGTAAAAAATGTGGTGGCAGAAACGGGAATCTTGTCTTAAATAGTGCTTAAAATAATAATAATTTAGAACACAAATAAACGAATTACATATTGGAGTAATTCGATACAGAAAACAAAGCAAACTAAACATTTAATGTTACGACGCAAATTGGCCTGTTCTTCCATTTCGGCCACATTATTGGTAGTACAGCACGAAATAATAAACTTTATGTTGAAGTTGTTTCGAAATATATGTATTAATGTATTGAAATTTGGAAGACGCCTTTTATCTCCTTATAATATAATTTAAACTTACAAAAACGTTTACCTTCAATATATTTGCTCTAGAATACGTACTTAGGTATTTCATATAAATCATGCCAGAATAGATTAAAGCTACACGGCCAGTCTCTGGGACTGATAGTCAACCAGGAGTGTCAAACACTTCGAAATAAATACAAAGCAATGAAGCAAATATTACAGAAAATGAAAATCAATACAAAAAGCCAAACAAAATGAACAATAAACGTGAATGTTATTGCTGAAACAGATTTCCCATATGGCAGTCACGGCCGAGAGAGGGGTTTCCGAATAACTGGTGGCTAGATATTATGTTTATATAGCTCTCGATAGTCAATTAAAAAATGGTACAATTTGCTAGCATGAGTTAGAAAACACCAAGTAAAACACTGCAATTGCTTCCTGTATCTGAAGGTATTTTCTAGACAGGGAATTAGTTAATTAAACATCGTTTCGCCTACACGTTGATAGCATGTGAGGGTCGTTTTTATTGATTAGTATACAGTATATTACCTTTATATGTTCTTTTGATCATCAAACAATTAAACTGCACATACTTGCTGACGTTCCACACTAAATGGAATTGTTATTTTAACGCCAATAGCCTAGCTATCTAAGCAAACTTTCCTGGGTAGAAAACTGATGGGCATTTGTGGAAGACTCTTTTTAGATATAAAACGAACGTTGAGTCCCCTTAGTCATGATAATCGGTTAACATGTGTGTCAAGCTCTAATTGGATTTGATCTTATAAATGAAAATATCTATAGTGAAATATCGGGTTTTTTCAAAACTTCAACAGAAGCTTAGTGCAGTAGGATCAGCAAGGCTAACAGTTATCATTAGAGAAAGCCATCAGCAGTCACGTGTAAGAATCAGTGGCGAGATTTGTACAAATTTCATCCATATCATATCACAAAGAGAGCGCAATGTTGGTGCGGCGCGTTCATGTCTGGTGACTTCGGTAAGCAATGAAATTGGTCTTGGCTATCCATACTATGTGTATGCTTCTTATCGATCGTTTCAAAGAAGCTTTTATTATTATTTGTAATATCATTGTTTAATTATCTCTATTATTATTTTCTTCGTTTTGAATGTTATATACAACGTGTAACACTGCATTTTTCTTATCGAGGTTGAGTTGACATCCCCTACATCCGGGTCACTTCTCTACATTCGGGCAGTGGAGCTTTTGTACAAGGACAACTCTAATACACCTGTGACTTCAACATACAGCGTATGGTACCAATTACATCCCGAAGGAGAACACATCTTGGCAACAACATTCGACCAGTCCAGCTATCCACAGGTACTACCCTTACAGCCTCCCTATTGTCTTCGGCGCAGGGCTGATGTTTTAAGGGAAAACGTGAAAATATGGATATGTATAGATAAAAATAAATTAAGTCTTTTATACAAAAGTCAGTATCAAATTCTGATGCTCTAAAAACAACTGTATGTTTTGATATTTCGAAGCATATCTCTAGCATTCTTAATAATCATCTGGTATTTCAAACTAGTATGGTAAGTGTAATAGTGTAAACGAGTAAAACAGCATGTCATATCCCTTTAATTAGTTACGGGAATTAGAAATAGAACTTTAATTATTAATATAGCAATCGAAAGAGAACAATGATAATGTTAATGTATGGCGTTTCACGACAAAGTACTAAAAATCAGCCGTTGTCCTTCTGACGGACTGTCTAGTAGCCTGTGAAATGTTAGACATGTGATCGCCAAGACCTTGGCAATAACTGTGAATGCATTGAATCAAAATTATGACGATGACCTGTCCTATAGGAAACGGTTTGAGCAGAAATCATTATTGATATTTTACATAGTTTTTCATGGCAATACCACGTCAAAAGCGTAATGCTGACGTCATTATTGATCAATAGACACCACGTAAATGTCATTTTACTTGAACCGTGTTGTAACATTTAAGAATTTATGTCATTTTGATATTTTCATAGGGATAGGAAAAAAAGGTTATTTGCAAACTGTATTGATTCGCCAAGCACAAATGCATGTGTCAATAGACCGTTTCCAACAATTGAACAATTTATTAATAATTTTGAAAACGAAGCGGTTATATATTTCAACTGGCTCCTTACATTTCAAAAACGAATATCACCAACTAAAACGATTTGATGGAATGCACTTGCTAACCACAAAATGAAGCATCTCAAATATGTTAATAGCACATTATCTAACGCTGAGCCGGCGCTTTTATCTGATACGATATACACAACAAAAGAGTGGATACGTTTCCCTTGGCAGATTCCGCGTGCTGCATGCATGCGAAACGTGCGCTATAGAAATAATGATTGAAGTTAATTAAAAGTATTGATTTATTTCATTACGAACAATGATCTTACATACAATACTATCAAAGTTAATGTATAGATATGTTTCGCATGGACAGGTGATGATATTAAGGTATTGTAATTTGATGTACCCTTATTGTAAATGCTGAAGTCATTCACACATGACATGGGATAATCTGGTTCCACTGACTGGGAATTGCCAATAATGATATTGACCTTCGTTACATGATATTCTTTGTGCCTCGCTGTAATTGGCCGAGACCCCGCTCAGATTTTGTTTATATATTGCGATTTTAACCTGCAACTTCCGTACCAAAAGTCAACAATACAATCCTTTGACCTCGACTGAACATTGCCAGCTTAGGTATTTCCTTGGCGAATGACAATCATATGTGAAACAATGGCAGGACCGCAGAGATGCAATTACCTTGAAAAATCAGCTTCAAGATTCGGGTGTATGGCGGTTGATTCTTTTATACTAGAAAAAAAAGCGTTTGGGTCGGTCTTACTCGTTTCCTGGAAAATTCTTTTCCTTTTTATGCTAACACAGGTATTTATTAACCCTTAAAAGATGATATTCAAATAGGTCAAGGAAAGTATCAATCACATTTTCAGGTCCACAAATACCTATGCGTACATAAAAAGTCAATAATTGTAAAATGTCGGTATTATACCGAAAGTATGATATGAGATCAGCAATATATAATCAGATATCCATCTTTAATTTAGAAGAAAGCAGTTTGATACAGATACATTTATTAAAGGTACATTAACCTTATTAATAATAAAGACAAATTCAAATCAAATTGTCTCAATTTAGTCATCATTATAGCTAGGATCAATTATTTTCCTTATTCTATCATAATACAACAAAATAACAAAGTTCTGTCAAAAGCTAACACTTCCTCTTCTTCTGTCAAAGTACAGTCCTCCTGGTGTAGTATCACGTACTGCAACACAAATACATTGAAAATAGATTTGACCTACGATATTAATAAAGTAATGGTAAAACGTTTATTTATTTATTTTAGTTTTACCCGACAGACGGAGGAAGGATTGATCTGGATGTGTTGCCAGCCTGGAATCTTACCTTTGTATTTTCCTCCACCCCTACTGATGGACAGGCTGTGATTACAATATATACAATCGGAGGTAAGAAATGCCCACAAAAATCAATGTACAATGTAGTTAAATGTTAAGTGAGTCATCACATTGTGTTTTGCCTATTAGGTACATCGCGTCCAATTGACGACATAGTTAAATATCCTTCCAGTATCTCTTGATAGACTTTTCCAATGAATAATTGCGGTGTTAATACACAAATACAACATTATAACTTGAATGAAAACAAAAATAAAAATCATTTTTTGAAGAGAAACTAAAAGTGAAAACTGAAGTGTTATCGTTTCGGTTGGGTGACACGCCAACATGTCTCCTCATAGTTAGTTGACTTTGATACATGTAGACTCCCTATTCATTAAACAAAGAGACACATACAGATAGTGACTGACTCTTAAATCGAAACATTATATTGACAAAGTAAGCAATTAACAGAGATAAAAACAAACACACAAATACAATCGTTATACAAGATAGACAACAATAAATAACATAAATGGTAGTATCACAGGGAGATAAAAATACAACAGGAAGGAAAGTATGAGAGTTTTAGTCATAGTGGATTTTAAATATTTCTCGGCTTAACATACCTGTAAAGTTATCGTTCGAGATTAAAACATATAATTATATAACGCTTCTATTTCTACACTATAGAGTAGACATGTAGGTCATTAATGTAAAAACACAGGATGACGTGGTTTTTATAGGAGGTTTGCGCTAACTGGGGATTTTACACATCTTACATGAATTTTAAGGGATTTTCGACTTTCTGGTAGCAGATGGTAAAGTATTCTACAAAGTTGTTGTTGTTTAATCAAACCAACGGTTTCAAATATCAGAGTTGTAGGTTTTAGAACTCTCTCCAACGGCAGTAATCGTGATGGCTTATTAAGTGTGACAAGATAATTTAAATACTGACCATGAGTAGCTGTCCTATATAGTGCATTCTCTGTGTGCATCAAAATGTGGCATGTATTCAACTGGTTATCAGTGCACTGAATACAGCACTGTTGTGACATACTCTGTCTTTCCCTTCAAGTGCTAGTAACCAGCCATGCTGAATTGTTCTGGGTCCTCTGTCGAGGACAAGTTAGTGTATCTGATATTATATAGAGCAGGTCATTACAAAATTCCAAACGAGGTCTTACAACTGAATACCCGAACGTCTTGCATGTATTTGTAGTGAAAACTAGTTCAAAGGTTGTCTCAAAGCGGTTCACAAATTATTATCAGTGTTTATAGGGCCTTTGCAACCAGCCAATATCTTCCCCAACTTTCTGGGGAACTTACACCCGGTGCTGCCATTTAGGCGCTTACAGCTAGCATTCAACCATTCTAACATTGCCAAACCACGTACTCGTTTATAGCTGAGTAGACTAGAACAAGCGGAGTAAAGTATCGTGTTCAAAGATACAACAACACAGTGCCGTGACTCGCGCTCGCAACCCTTTGGTCACTAGCCCGGTGTCCTACCACTAGACTACCGTGCCTCCCTTCGGTCACTAGCCCGGTGTCCTACCACTAGATTTCCGTGCCTCCTGAAGCATTGAACTTAATGGAGTTTTTTTCAGATGGATATATTGACCCCCACCTACCAATTTATCCATTCACTTCGTATACTTAACATCTTGCAATCTCGCCACATATTCTCACATATTCAGATATTCAGTATCAGTGCAGATATAATCACAAGCCTGTGATTGCAATATGCCTTTCTAGATTGTGTGTTCCGTCATTATCACAGTACAATTTATATGTTGTTGTATGGAAATCAGGCTCAAATCGTTTTTCGGATTATGACATTATCAATGAAGATGGTGCCGAGATAATACTGATGTAAATTTCCTTCTTCAAATGATAAGCATGTAACATAAGAACGAACTAAGGGTAGAAAGATAAATCGATAGAGGTGCACGTACAGAAACTTAGGGAAACAAAGGCGGACAAAGACTTGGAGAAAATGAGACACGCTAAAACAGGCAGAAATGTAAATAGATGAATCAGACATCGACTGAAACTTACAAATACTAATGTAGAAACAAACGGATAGGTAGATAAAGAGGAAGTACAGAGACATATAGAACTGCCCGATTCATATTTCATTAAACATAGTTTTGATGTATATAGTTAAATAACAAGTATCATTGATGTTATGCTTAGTGTAAATCAATTATAAAACAGCAGAGTGTAAATTCTATTTTAGTTAGTGTTTGCAGATGTTTAACTTAGTTGCAGATACTAACATTGGGACCAAACAAATACATTATGATAGATAAGGTCAATGACAGATGTCATCAATACGTTTGTGATCGTCATGAAATCGTCGGCAAATTGATTATGTCTCAGTCAGGATCAAAGATATTTTAATACAGTCATAACGTACATACAGGCTACCATTAACAGATGAAGGGATGAAGAAGATCGTATTTATCAACGTATTCTCAAATTGGCTGTGAAGTGGACAGATGCAGTCATACGATATATTGTATAGAACAAAACTATACAATAATTCTTTGCTGAAATGTTAATTGAAATGAACACATCAATTATAGAATTGAATAAAGTATTTGTCTGTTACACAGCAATTACATTTGAAATAGTGATTGAAGTAAATATTGCTTTCACCCTAGGTAGGTGATATGTATGTTTCGTTTCATATGATATAATGATTAAATCATATTTTTGTAATTAGGTTAAACAAAAGTAGAAGAAATCACCATCTATTTACTAAAACCTTAACACAAAAAGGCAAAAACTGAAACAAAGGTAAAATAAAAACACAACAAACTGAGGAGACAGAGAAACCGTGGCAACCTACACGAAAACCCGGAGGTATAAACCGGAGCTCCGGAAAAATTACTATTATTTCTTGCATTGATTCTAAATTTATTTTTAATTGTCTATATTTTTTTCATTTTTTTTGCAGATGATGATTTTGTGACCGGATATTTGTTTAGCATAATGAGTTTCAAGTCGATTGGTAAGTAGTAAAACTCACCAACGACAATACAGTACATTCTGTAGTGTAACACATTATTCTATTCTTAACACATTATTCTGTATACTATCAGTCCGCTAGGATCGACATTTTTTTAATTATTTTTTTCAATTCTTATCTCTATATATTTTTTTTGCGTCTTGTTTCTTTTTATGGAATACCCATGTCGCTGTCAAACGTTTATTAAAAGGCAGTCACAGGAAACACATGCCAGTAGGCGCCGACAAGTCCTTATCACAGATAACAATTCTCAACCAAGATATAAATTCATTTATTACATTTTACCAGTGAAATATCAGAAGTCAACATTTTTGTTAGCACATACGTCTTCAGTTAAGTGAAGATATTGCGTTATTTCGACCAATTCGAGCAGTATTTTCTATAAGCTTCCTTCAAGGCCAAAGACTGTCCCTTTACTTGCAAAAAAAGGTATGTATAACAAGAAGTTTTGACGTACAATCAATCCAACAAAAAGGTACACAAAGTTCATCGAGGTTCTACAATAAAATCTACATAATTTCTCATCTTGTTGTCTGTGATATGCTCAGCTGACGTTGTCAATATAAATGAATGTATGAAAAGATAATTTTGATAAGATAAAAACACTTTTTATTCTATTGCAAAATCCTTTGTATCTTATCTTGACACACCAGAATATTGAATGTGTAATAAAACAGAACAACTGTTCGAAAACAAAACAGAAACAACCCGGGTGGAGTATCAAATTGTCTGGCGTTGATGTTGCAGTAGATGGAAGCACGGTCCCAGTACAATAGCGTGTTTTCATAACTCTACAAAAGATAACATTTGTTTAAGTATATTTTACTAGATTATAGCAGAAAACGGTAGACTTACGTTAAGTAGTTATTCAAAATGGCGCAAAGAGTTATTGTCAAACGTGAACTCATTAGAACATAGTGTCAAATGATACGCTACGAGTCCCAAAACCTTAACCTCAATACAATTATATATTCGTCTTTGCATGTACCTTAAAAATGTCATAAACAGAATAATCAATGTTTTCCCACTGACTGCCAGGACGTATAGAAGATTTCATTTTTATTTTTTATACATGAAAAAACTATCGATCTCTGAAATAGTCGTGAAATGTATATCGTATTCAATAAGCGACAACTAAGGATATTTTTTATTTATGTGATTTATCGCACTAACGCTCAAAGGACACGATGGATATCTCAGATTTGATATAATCGTATTTTTGTAATATTGATTGAAAAATGCATTTTTATAATACCTTAAACTCTCTCCTTTATTCTATTGTTTGGGTTAACGTTACTTCCTGTTGTAATTAGTGCCAGTTAGAAGCAAAAATGCTCAAGCCACAATATATTGTTAATGCCGCCACCATATGATAAAATGACCTCAGATGTGCTATCGATTTTACTCGTGATCCTTTGTCGGTCTAGACGCTACTGCCGTCATATCCATTCCACCTGAAATAGTTTCTAATTTATATGCTCACCTATAAAATGAGGTAAATGAAGCGGTAATTATTGACGAATGGCTTTCATGCAAGTAAATCCATTGAACATTTCGATAGAGGAACAGGAAAATTGTATATTCATGAAATATTAGAACGTGGTCAATTTATATCATGTTGCTTCTAATACTGTTAGTACAAAATGTACTGCTGAGTACGGATAGTTGACCAGTGGTAGTTTCAAATGATGGTATTGTTGTCTTGAAATGTAGGTTTCACCATAATTCGTCAATGATTAATATTTTGTATAGCTTGTCTGTTGTGTTCTACATTGGGATATACATTAGAGAATTCCCTATTCACACTGACCCAATTATTAATCATCACATGCAGACCGTCAAGCATGGTTTCGATTGACCCTTTTCTTTAATGTAAAAATAGAATCGTTGTCTGAAATTAATTAACAACATTTAGAAATGTACTTGTTACAAATTAATTTCAAATGTTTGCTTGATATGATCAACTCTATGAATAAAAACCATAAAAAAATGTATCTAATGAAACTGGTGTCCACTCTCCTGGGACTATATAAACAAAAACAGTATATTTCCCTTATCATATTGTCTCTGATATGCTCAGCTAACGTTGTTAATATTTATATGAATGTTTGAAAGATATTTTTGATAAGATGAAAACTTTTGATATCATATTGCAAATTTCCTTTGTATCTTAACTTAACACACCAGAATACTGAATGTGTTTTAAAACAAAATAACCGTCCGAAAAGAAATAACAGTGCCTTACGTTTATATTGATGAGAACTACCTGGTATTACAGAAAGTTCACATTCGAACATTGTTGTATTAAACATAGAGAATTTTTCAAATTAATCAATAATCTATTATCATACATGTATATCAAGATATTGAAAAAAAAGTACACATACAAACACAAAAAAACCCTTTATAATCATTAAATAGCATATAGTATTATTATCCAGCATAATGGCACTAGCATTTTGGATTGTTGTTCTCGAAAATATCTTACATGTGTACTCCCTGGTTTCCTGTTTCCTGTTATTAGTTTTGACTCAATAAAATTTGCTGTAATTACTATCTTGAAAAGATAAGAAAATTGTAGTCATTTCAATATTATGATGCTAAAGAAATTACTTGGATGGTATGCGCGTCATCATTCGTATTGATAAAGCTAGATCTAAAAGCTGCTCGTGTCCGTGTTATAAATGCCTCGTCATACCACTTACTTCCCTCACGGTTTAGATACATGTTAATTGTATGTATACAGTGTGTGCCTTGTAATCAATATACGTACATCTAAGAGTTGATAGTTAATGAAAACTAGTCAGCTAGTTCAACTAATTCATCGCCATTTGCCTGGATTCCAGTATCGTATAACATTATCCTACAAGGACAAAACTTAAGCAGCATTATACAATCTAACCACTAGTTCTTTGAACACAATATTGATGAAATTTGAAAGATAATGCAAAGACCTGAGATAACCTATAGCAAGTATACTATACAAAGAGAGATCCTAAGAACTAAGTGCCATAATTATACCATCGATTTTCCCTCCATAGCAGAGCAGTAAAAATTTGCTTATTTGTTGTTTACATTTGGTATATACAGTTAAGTGACTTGCTGCAAAGGCTACATGAACTAATTGTTGATGAACACAACACTGTTGTATTACCGCAACCAAGGGTCTTACTACTTTCGTTGTTTTGTATATATTCCTGGGTTTTAATTTCCATGCATCATCTTACAAAGCATGTAGTTCTAGTCGGGAAAGATATTTATTAAATGTTGACTTTATTAAACACTTTTATGTTTAGATGTGACAACAACAACAGCACAGGAGACACCATCAACCACAGACACAGCGTCAACAATAAGTGAAACATCTACAAAGGCAGTAGAAACAACAACTATCGAAAACGCTACCGCGGCCGAAACAACAACTCCAGAAGAAACAACTCAATCAGAAATAGCAACAACAACTATCGAATTAACAACACCACATATCGAAACATCAACTGCGGGAAGTACAACATCAATGCAAGAAACAACAATGTCAGTGGCAACAACAGATTCAGATGAAACAACAGCTTCAAATGAAATAACGACGATAACACATTTAGGCGAAACAACAACTGCAGTAAGTGCAAACTCAGTGGGAACAGAAACAACAGCTACTTTATCAACAACAGATCAAACGGCATTAGTAACTGTGACAGCCAGTGTGTGTCTGTGTACATGTGTTACTTCCAATTTTAATCTAACTGCAGAACAGTTAGAGGAGACGATACAGGAATTAAAGAAATCATTAACCGTATCTAAAACCGAGCTATCATCCTATAAAAGAAAACTTATCAGTGCACCGGATAGTCGACAGTCAGCAGCTAGCATCGGATATGTCGGAGTGCTTGTAATAGGATTTGTTTTTGGGTCAGTCGTATTTTGTGATGGTATATCGCTTTATCGCGCACTCGCGAAAAAATAAAAAAAAGTGTTTACTCTTTGGTGGGAAATATTTTCTGAACATTAAATGCCTATTAAGCAGCAACATGAACACAATGATAATAGTTTGTTTTGACAAGGATTCAATAAGTTATACAGTGAAGCCTATTATCACTATCGCTGATGACAGAAAATAAAAGGTGCAGGATTTACTACAATTCCGCGATAGCATAAGTAACAATACATCACTGCCCATCCAGTGAGCACATTATTCATCAAAGCACTGACGTGATAATGATATTGCATTTAATTTCCAAAGTTTTCATAAATAACAATAAAAATATTTTCTACCACGAACAGTAATACACCAGCAACAATTTAAAGTGTAACTACGGAGAGAATACTAAATAAAAAAGTATTACCCCTGATACTAGTGTTTCTTAAGAGATGTTCACAGTGTTACTACATCGAGAATATTCAAACTGTAACTAGTGTTTCTTTAGACTGTTTACAGTGTTACTATTGAGACAATATTACTGCTGTAACCAGTGTTTCTATAGACAGTTTACAGTGTAGCTACGGAGAGAAAATTACTGCTGTAACAAATATTTCGATAAGCACATGTTATTGTGTAGCTACGGAGGAAAAAATACTGCTGTAATCAACGTTTTTATAGCCACATGTTAAAGTGTAGCTACGGAGAAAAATATATTGCTGTAACCAGTGTTTCTATAGCCACATATTACAGTGTAGCTACGGAGAGAATAATTATTACTGTTGTAACTAACGTTTCTATAGACACATGTTACAGTATACATATAGCTACGGAGTAAAAAATGCTGTAACCAGTGTTTCAATGACTCATGCTACAGTGTAGCTACATAGAATATTATTGCTGTAACCAGTGTTTCTAGAGACAGTTTACAGTGTACTTACGGGAGAAAATTATTGCTGTAACCAGTGTTTCTATAGACAACTTACAGTGCAACTAAGGAGAGAAAATTACTACTGTAACCAATATTTCGATAAGCACATGCTATAGTGTAGCTTCGGAGGAAAATAATAATGCTGTAACCAATGTTTCTATTTGCACATGTTACAGTGTAGCTACTACGACCGCTTAAGTGATTATTGTGTTTATATTGCATTTTTTGTTATTATCATGTTAATACTATTAAAATAAACAAGCGAGTGTTACCATGTCACATTAGTATCTATTATATATGTGTGTATTTAATTGTTATTTTTGTTGTTTTTTCTGCAATGTTCACCAAAGTTTGTTGAATAGAAAGGAGGTGCAGGACGTTAGGGACTGAAACTGGATTAACTAGGACATTGTAACGGTATTTTATTATTTTAAATGTCTCAGGTGGTGACTCTCAAATTGATCAACAAAGACAATGTATTGTTGTATGAAGTGTATGCTTCCGTTAATACCCCCATCCCTAGTCCCACCCCAATTCAAGACAATGCCCTTGTCATTAAGAGTGCTTTGTGTGTAAGTTACGTTTCTAAAATAAATATTCTCATTGTATAAGGTGTTTTCATGATTTTATTGTCTTCTATCATTATTGTATGTGCCTTCCTTCACTAGATACTAGATAAGCCTGCGTGGAGTAACATAATAATGATTTGTGACCTCATGCAGGCATTGCGGTATCAGGTTATCTGGACAAAACTATTACCATAGGAGACCTCTAATCATCCAACGGGTTGATTTTAAAATGTTTTATATTTATCAATCAAAACATCAACAATGAGTGAAAATATCTGTCAACGAATGAATTCCTGGAGGGAAATGGAAGTATTCGAAATAATTAATTTTCGCAAAATGTAAAAGTCAAAGGTATATGTAAAACAACTGTGTCTTGCAAAGCATTATTGAGAAAATACTGAATGTAAATGTAAAAATCTGTTTCTTTGCTAAATATGAAAGAAAAGAAATATCTATCTCGCTAAATGTTATTGTTACAATTTGTATCTTTTTAAGTCAAATACAAACTATCACCTTAAGCGGGACAGTTTTGTTTATTCTCAAATTGTCCATGGGTATCAACAAATGGATCACTCTAAAATCTATGCATAAAAGGAGTGCTGTATACCATTTTGATTGCGTTGTTGCTCAATTAATACATAATTCAATAATCATATTTTAATCATTTTCGAGGAAGGTGAAATGGAAATCGTATTTAATGTGTATATGAATAGACACAAAGCAGATTTTAACAGGACGATGTGATTTGTATTGTATTTACCTGTATTTTTACAATAGAGAATAGATACATACACAAACTGAAACACAGAATCATGTGTATGGTGAGGGTGAAGGTACTAGGATCTCTATAAACGGGACAACATACCTTCCTTAGTATACACATGGTATATTATTTATGGTAATTACTTTATGTAGTCAAACGTAAATAGTTGAAATTGATATTTTTTTGTACCGGCTATATAATGATAGAGCCAAGAGATTGTCCTTCAGTAAACAATAAACTGATTAATAGATAACGAAACTTGTTTTTAATTTTGTTTTCATTTCATATTTTGTGATGCTATCGGCTTGCTTCTCTTGATGGCGGGTGTTGTATTATCAGTTTACAATTAATCACATTGGTAGAACAGGTCAATGGACAGATCTGTTTGTGAAGAAACTTTGAAATGGAGCTGTTTGGTTTACAAGAACTAGGCATTCGATTACACTTTGTTTAGTACAATATTTGTGGTCATTAAAAAGAATGGTAAGTAACAGCAGAACATTTAAATAGTATAGCTTATCATTTTACATGTAGATATCTACCTCCTATACATATCTTTATCCTTAAGAGGTAGTAGACTTTTTCTGAGTAAGGGTTCAAAATCTAACTTCTTTTTATTTATATCTTTGTCTTTGAGAAGTAGGTTAATATCATACATCTTATATAGGAAAATGGGCTACCAGGTACTTCTTTGTGATGGAAAGGTTTATGTTGTATTATGCTCATTAACGTGCCTTGTTCTTTCGTTGTCACTGTCTTAGTCCTAGCTATGAGGATATGGTATTACATGGATTTTACTTAGATTAACATGGCAGGTGTCGTCGGGGAAGCAGGAGACGATTACCCTTCCGTAACACCTGGTCTTATAATGTTTGTACTTTTCAATTATCTCAGTGTTAATAAGTCCTTTGTTCAGATTGTGCCGTAATTTCATGGATTTTGAGTTCGAAGTATGGGTTAATTGACAGTTCGGTATATATGGTCTTGTTGTTTTTAGGTGATATTTGAAATTTCAGTAGGTAACTTATGTGGATTTTTAACTTCATTTTAAATTTGTGTATTAACCTTACCGATGGAATTGTGGTGATATCTGAGACAAGATAACCTTGCACATAATGTTGGCGACGTTGAACTCAACGATGCACTTACTGTTGAATTAATGCCAGACGGACGTGAAATCTATAACTTGAAATAGATGTTTGATTTTCGTTTCATTGTTACCAATAACCTGGGCTTGCACGACAGATCAACAACTCGCGTCCTACTCAGTCTTGTAATGGTGTTTTTTTCGCAGAAAATTGCACTCAACGTTATATGAAATTTGATGAATCATTTAAAAAGACCAAATAGGTTTATTAAATATTTCATTGAATTGAAGCCTTGCATCAATGAGCAGCTGATTTCCAACATTAAATATCTTAATGCGATATTTTGAATGGCATTTATATGCATTTTTAACCGCAATGCAATCTCCCGAACATATGCGATTCTAGAAAGTGCAGTTTTGCGTTAATAGCTGAAATTTACCTTTATCTGTAGCTCCCTAGTGTAGTGTTATCTATCTATTTCCTTCGGGGCTGTGTACTCGTCATGTGTTTATTAGTACACTTGTCTTTGATGATTCATTGAAACCAATAAAACTTTTACCGTTACATTCCGATGATATTTTCCCCAACTATAAGCACAATAAATGTAATCCTCATAAATATTGAAACAGCTTGTTCGAAAATGTCGATAAAACGTGTTTGACAAAGTTATTATTTGTTGATCAATAAGATAAGACTATGAACCTTATTATTAAGGATTATATATAAATTTCGCATAAATCCACCTAGAGTATCGATGGTAGATTTAAATATTACGAGAACAACAAAAGAACACCTTATTCTACAAAACCATATTCCGAGCTCAAAATCGATCAAACTAATGCAAAATATTTTCAAAGGAAAAATTTCCATCGACATGAAAAAGTACCGAAAAAAAGACCAGGTGTTCAGAAAGTAAGCGTCTACTGCTTCATCAAAGACACTCATCATACCATGTCAAATCAAAGAAACAGCACATCTTGCTAGCGAGACCTTGTGTAGTAACATCAAAACAGCAAGACGAACAATGAGCTAAACAGAAAACATCGACCTTCATATCGGACAAGGAAATGGCACATTGAGCATCATTACGACCATAAAACATATCCATAATTCTCATCAATCCTGCATTCTTGGAAACCCTGTGTTGTAAGTTTCTATTGTGTCCGTCAACATATATCACGAACATTACAATATCCAGAGCAAGCTTTTTAATTCCAAATCAGCAATAGAAGTGAGAGCAGCCAAAATGGGTCACGTAATCAATATCTTATTAATTTATTGAAAATGAAGGAAGAAATAACATTAACCTATGGATTTGTTAAAAAGAAATCATTGATCGATATTTTAACAAACGATATTAGCACCCGCAGTTCAAGTAAGTTATTTTTTGCCCACCAATTAACGTTTCCATTTTATTTTTGCAAACGTCAGTTACCTCAAATGTATTACATCTCAAATTTTGCATTATCTTACGCTTCCAATCAACAAACCTTTGCTGGCATCTTAACATGTTATACTGATCTTTTGAATTTGTATGAAAACAAATATTTCTACAGCCTGAGTTTAGTCTTATCGTCCGAAACAGACGACATAATCTTCTTTGCCATACACATTGAGTAAAACGCAAATTAAGATTATTGTGATTGAGAACAGTAGTTTGAGAAATCAGGTGTGCGAGAAGAGTTGTTTTACAGTAGATTATAATCAAACCAAACACCTATTATTTAGATCAATATATTAAAAATAAATTCCGATCATTAAAATACTCAGGACATGCACAATATTATTGTCTGCATTAACATTCTCGAGCGTTCGGCTTATTATTTTGAGCGTTCAGCTTTTTTTATGAAATATAGATAATGGGATAATAAATCAAACGCTCGGACAGTTCTGCGCTCGAGATAATGTACCTCGCGAGTCTCTTAATTATGTCAACAAGCATGTGTATGGTGTCCCAGTGTGTATGTAATGCATTTGACCCAATCAATACCATTCACTGACACCTTTAGATGCATGTACTCACAATACCACACGGTAGTGTAATCCTCGCCCTAATAAGGGTCCATTTATATCAGCTTTACCGGACCAAGTCAAATTTTAAAATTCAACCATGAGAACAGATTTTGTAGAAAGTTTTGTGAGTTTTGTAAACGTTATTTGGAGATGACTGTTCTGCACTCCAGGATAAGTATTCTGAGTTTTAATTCTCATTAATACGAACAAAACACAACTTTACAATTCTCAGTTGGCCATCAGGCAAGCTGATAAATAAATCCCAGGTCAATGAATGCGATAGTAAACTAATCGATGGGACGATATTGAACAATAAACCACTAACGCAATGGATAAACGTTTGAATGGTTGCAATAAACAAGCCCTACTTAAGGTTGATAGACCAACACGAAGGAATTATTTGTTTAAACTGACGATGACGTGTTGTTTATCATCTATTAAAACATCACATGTGGAGTAAAAAAAAAGAGCAAATTACTCAACTATTTAATGTGAAACTGTAACTAATAATTTGCACTATTTGAACAGTGAACTATCTCATGTCTACAATATACATGCATTGTTTGAAAAAGACCAGAACAACATGGAGCATCATAAAAAATTACGTCACCGAAATGTTTTAATCCAAATTATGTTTCTCTAATAAAATCGATTTATATAAGTAAGTGTCATCAATAAAACAGCCTTTAAAATGTAAGTAATTGCTCTATAATGGTAATTATACAAGAAAAATTGAAATTAAGTGATCACCATAAATATTGGTGTGAAAGTTAGTAGTATGTCTCATTGAGTGGTTCGGTTGATTCCTGTCGTTTAGATTTTATAAATAGAAAATCGCTGACGACAGGACAATATAAGGAGTGTTATTAATCTTTCCTTTCTTCCCATTATTTCACAAAAGTTATTCACACATAACTGATGCAATCCTTCAATCTGTCATTCAATTATACAATTGTTTATTTTTAACAATATATTCCTTCATACCAATTATTCGTGCAAATCATTCATTCCAATCATTCATTCATAAGGTTTTCGTCATTTCTTCTTATAGCAGATGTCATCGTCTTATCATTTTCATATGTTATATCAACTTTTCGCAACTTACCATAAACATGTAAATAAAAATGACTTTTCAATTTTGGCCTTTTTTGTTTTTGTTAGAGTATTAACAAGATAAAACTCGGGTTCCATCCAATTTCCACACTTAATTTTTTTTTTTAAATAACTCATCTTTCTAGCATGCAATAAACACTGGATATGCCAACAATTTGGACCTTCTTGTCCGCTACTCCCTTTGGTTTTATCAAATATCAAAGTACTGAAGTCTGAATAAGTTTTACCATCTGATCTTAAAAACGTTTCCATGGCGACCAGCAATCCAGTATTGATTTATTGATTGGAATATGCCCAAAAATAACAGGTTATGTTAATGTATAAGGAATATGACTGTAGCGCCACATTTTTGGGGCAATTTCATTAAATATTTTCATCAATATCATATTTTAATATGAATTTCATAACCGATATATTTTTGCTGCAGACAAAACGCATGACCCGACGCATCATTTTTATCACTAAATCATCTTTTCAGAATTTATTAAAAAAAAGTCTCTCCAGACCCAACCAATGACCTGAGATCTAAAGTTTTTGATAACTGAAATGAATACAATGGTGAATTCACAGCGAATTCATACACATAAGGAATAAGCGACAAAAATATGTTTGGGCATGGCCACCAGACACAAAATATACAACTTGTATAGCAAGTGATCGTCGGAAAATAAACAAAGCCTAATTCAGTCTTCGTCACGATTATTATTATTGAATATGAAATTTCAAATATCCCCTCATGATAGCATGATAGCCTTTCATTCATATTAGCTACTATTTAAATCATAGCACTTGATAATGCTTAAGACCCGTGACCTTGAATGGAGACCATGTATTTAAAATTTAAAAATCGACAAACTTGGATTCTAGCTACACAATATCTAAATTGCATGACCCTAGGACTTATGGTTCTTCAGTTTGTTTGTTTTTAAGATTTTTTTACATATTTTACCTTTTTTATCTTGAAAGAAGGTCGAGGTCATTTATTGAATAACATTAACAGCCATTAATCCCATTTTCCTACTGCTAAAAA